TATATATTAAGGATTTTGTAAGGTATCCCCCAAAAGGAACCACAATGGAGACTATAGGTACTTAAGTGGGAGTAATTAACCCTAACCCCCCAGGTACCTACTATATACGGCCCTAGGGGCTCTAGTACCCCATATAGTAGGTACCTGGGTGTTTAGGGTTTAGGGTTTTTTCCTGACAGCTACCTATCCCTTTTGTACGGTCCCGGTGTCTTCAAATTTGGGTTTGAAACCCAATACTCGGTGAAAGTATTGTTGAAACGGCCATGGGTGTCTGTTCAGACCCACCAACCAACAGTAGGTTCTACCTGGACCCCAAAAGTAGGTCGAAAAACAGCCTTGGAGAGTATTTTTGCCATTATTTTACCTACCTTTGGGGGGTTTAGGTAGTAGGTCAAGAAGCGGAAAGGTCTGCAGGCTTTGCGGCCGGCCCACTGCGTCGGCTTACGCAACGTTAGGCGATTCACAGGCCTTAACAAAACTGTATTGCAGTTAATGCTTGCTCATCCGAAACTTGGCAGCTGCAGAACACTATCGCATTTAGAGGTTATAACCCTAAACCCTAAACCCTAAACCCTAAACCCTAACCCCTAAACCCTAAACCCTAAACCCTATAACACAACTCTAGTATAGCACTGTAGCCCGGACCTACTCATAGTTAAGGCCTCTAGACTCTACGTAACGTATGCTTACACCCCCAAACTCAAAACGGCAGACCCCTCTTACTTAGGGCGTGGGCCCCGAAGTCAGAGCAGCGGACGTGTGTTTTCAGATCTGCCCCGTAAACTCAATTCCAGGGGCCTAGTTTGGGAAATGGTCCTAAAGTCAAATCAACACCTGGGTTCTTGTTAAGGGATTCAATTTAAGTTACAAAAAATAGGGATCTATGGTAATTAATATTTCCTTGTTATAGTAACTTAAATTAAATCCCTTAACAAGAACCCGGACACGTGTCTCGCCCAGCAGTGGGAGCTCCGAACTGTCCGAGTCGCTGTCCATGCCATGTTTTCCAGCTTTTGTAGGGTTTAGGGTTTAGGGTTTAGGGTTTAGGCTAAGGGACTTTTGCACATTTTCTATCGGCAGCCCCTGACCCGTTGCCAGCACAGCTTCAGAAGCGCACGTGCCAAGAAACATACCTGAGATGCTCGATTCCCTCAAGTGTAAAGTGTAAAAACTCCGACATGCTGTGCCTGCCGTACTTATCCCTGATGTTTCGTACTCAAAAGTGGTTCAACAAATTGAAGCATTGAAAGCCCTCGTTCCCCCGCAAGCAACGCCGTGATCGCACAGCGCCAGCCACTTTTGGCCTTCTCGAACTCCACCCTCGCACATGCAGTGTGCGTTGTTTCCCTGTATTTTGCTCAGCCAACTGTAAGATGTGCTTGGACGCCCGTTTCTTAAGGGTGGCGTTGCCTCGCTCCTGGCAGGAAGATCAGGAAGTGGTGCTGAGAAAGTCTTCATCGCTCCAACCTCCAAAAAAGGTTCCGGAAGAAGGCGTGTTTGCCAAACCCTAAACTGCATTCAGCGTCTAAGTTGCATTGCTTGAATGCTTTGGCTGCAGCGCTTGAGATGTCGTTTGGGCTGTCTTGGTCTGAGGAGTTGTTTTAGTATGGTTGATTTCTTTAATGCTTTGGTATAGCATGTGCCCATGCTGAATTAGCCTGGGATTAAAGGGGCAGCGGAGTCATAAAGCTCTCCATTTGCCATGGTTCGCCATTTGGGGGCCTCCTCTAAAGTGTACGGTTGCCTTCTTTTTTTCTACTCCCTCAGCCCCTAGAGCTTTAAACACTAAACCCCTAAACTCCAACTGCTAATGCTGAGAGGTCCAGTTTTAGGATACTGGCTTCTCTGATCTCGGAGGCTGTCCTTTGAAGTTTCGGGGAGGCCTCAGATGTAGGCTTGGTTTCCAGGGGTATATATATATATATATGTATGCATATATTTATATATCAGGTTATATGTATGTGTGCATAATGCTATGTCTATACATATATATATATATATAACATATTTATACATATACAATATGTACGTATCTCTACTTGTTGTTGTTATTGTTGTTGTTATTCTTATATGTGGCTGATAAGGTTTTGAAGAGGTTGGAGGCTTATTTCGGGACTTCCGGAAGCCTCAGTGGGAGGTGTTTGGGGACACGAGTGCTAACAGACGCTAGAATGCCAGCACTATAATCCCTAACCCCTAAACCCTAAACCCTTATAATCCTAAACCCTATAGACCCGATGTTGAGCAATGACCGATTACATCGACTATGCGCTGACTCATAGCCTACTAGGCCGGCACACAACAGCATCCCAAGAACCCTCAGAGCTGGCAGGGTTTGGTGGTTTGGGGTTTTGATGGTTTCCCCCCTTTAGAAGCCTTTCAATCACGGATTTTTCCAGAGGGTCCGAGTACCCAATAGTAAGGTTCCAGGTCCCAAAATCCATAGTCTGAGTGGTTTTTGGACCCTAAAACCCTACTGTTTGGGTGCTTGGACCCTGAGGGTTCGTTAACAGTTTGAGCTCTCCTAAGGGTCTCAGTAAATTGTGGTGTCTGCATTCGGGCCACCTTCACTCTGAATCGCTGACACAGCTCGTCTCCTTCAGTGTACTTCCGAAGCTCGAGCGCTCCGCCCGGCAAAACTGCATCCTAACCCTACGCCCTAAACCCTAAACCCTAAACCCTAAGTGAATTGAGGGGGTTCCCTTGGTGTAGGGTCCTGGTACCAAACGAGTCTGCTATTGAGGGACCCCTGGCTCTCTGGAGCTTAAGGTTTCAGGGTTTAGGGTTTAGGGTTTAGGGTTTAGGGTTTAGGGTTTGGGGTTTGGGGGGGGCTGCTACATTCCCATAAGTTGTGCTTGGATTTCCCTAAAGGCAATATCAGGGTAGGGATAGTTGCCAATACTATACTTAAGGATTCCTTAGTATAACCACTGTAGTATACACCGAAAGCCTATTCTCAGAAGAAAGGTTCCTATAGAGGGAGCTTTGTAGAACGACCTCAGCAAGAGATGCGAGGTAACGGTCCGCTCATCAAGGGTCCTACTCTTTGCCTACCTTAGACCCCTACACCCAAAGCCCAAGAGCGCACACCCAACCCAAAGCCCTGAACCCTGACCAACAGCCCTCAAGCCCCGTATGCCTGCAACACAAGAGTCCAACTTCCGCGTAAAGTGCGCAACCTGTGCTCATCTAAGCTACTCTGACTTGCGGTATAAACCCATGGGTCCAGCTTTAAAGCACACAGCTACTGGACAGGATTAAGGATTTGCTTGGAAAGGTTTTAGTACAGGAACCTTGGTAGGCCAGCGTGCGAGGGGTTTAGGGTTTATAGGGTTTAGGCTTTAGGTTTAGGGTTTAGGCAGCTATTGAAAGCATTACAGCAAGTCACTCACTGGAAAGAAGACTTTCACCCTAGTATAGGGGCCTTAGCTACGCTTTGGCATGCATTATGCCATAGTATTAGGAGTAGAAGAGGATGTCATTTCTCATAATTCCGATACCTGCATTCGACCCAAGCCTCCCGAAGCCCCAAGCCCCGAGATTGCACAGAGGTGAGTAGCAGATATCTGCGAAATTGGAATCCTGGCCCAGTATAGGGTTTAGGGCTTCGGGTACAGGAAAAGGGACAGGAGTTCCCTAAACCCTAAACCTTAAACCTGAACCGTTAGGAATAGGATCTTAGGGTTTTAGGGTTTAGGGTTAGGCTTTAGGNNACCCTAAACCCTAAACCCAGGTAGGATCTTAGGGCTGTTGCTTGGAGGCTGGCGCCTGTCCGTCGTTCCGGCACCTGCAGTCCCGAGAGCACCTCGCTTGTAGGGCAGCTGTAGGAGCCTTAATAATTAGAAT